TGAAATGCATGTAACCCTAATGTCCAAGACCAAGGTCACCATTTTTCTATCGATCTATATATATATAATATATAGTGAAGTGCATGTGCATGCTTATCAGCATATGTACTTTAGAAAAAAATATGCTAGCACATACTCCACTGTTGTACACCTCTTAAGCAGTATAGGTTGCTTTAGAAACAAATTGTGAAAAATGTTTCACATTGTCGGAAAATTGTTGCTAAATCTATGATGTAGATGTTGTTGTAGTGTACTTGCTTCAAAGAATTATTTTAATCTCTTCTGAACAACATTTGAACTTGCAGATTCCATACGTGGGCCTCAACTTTGCTGTCTATGAATCTCTAAAGGACTGGTTGATCAAAACCAACCCATACGGGCTCGTTGAAGACTCGGAATTGAGCATCGTCACAAGGCTCGGCTGCGGAGCGGTTGCTGGAACGGTTGGCCAGACTGTTGCCTACCCTCTCGATGTAATCCGGAGAAGAATGCAAATGGTGGGTTGGAAGGATGCTGCTTCTATTGTGACCGGACATGGAAGGAGCAAAGCACCTTTAGAATACAATGGCATGGTAGATGCCTTCAGGAAAACTGTCCGTAACGAAGGCTTCGGTGCATTATACAAAGGTCTTGTCCCCAATTCAGTAAAGGTTTGTGACTTCAATTCCATTTAGCGTACAAAAGTATCATGTTAACCATCAAAGATTTAGATGCAGAATCACATCGATGTTCTTTTTTTCTTTCAGGTGGTGCCATCAATTGCAATTGCTTTTGTGACGTACGAGGTGGTAAAGGATGTTCTTGGTGTAGAAATGAGGATATCGGATTGATGGTGTCGATGCTGCGCCCACTGTTGTCGTGAGGAGGGTTGGCTTCGTCTTTACTGCGTACGTAGATGTTCCATGTTAATGACTGCTGCTGAACATTTTGGTTTCCTCTGTTGGCTTGAAGAATAAATCGGCTGTACCGCAGTAGGAAGCCTAAACTTAATGTTGGGACCCATAATGACGTTGGACGCGTTTTATGAGCTGACCTGGACCCGACATGGTCACCTCTCGGGTTCCGTGTTGCGTGGCGTGCGGGTCACGTGCGAGTTCCGCTCCGCTGCTCAGGGTTGACACTAGGCGGTCAGATCACGTGGTGTTGGGTGTGTTGTTGACCTGAAGCGCCGCGTGGAATTGACCACGCATCTCAATTAGTCTATGCATTGACAACTTCGATGTCTTACTAGAAAATGCCGAACTAAAAGGCGAATGTTTACAGTGGCATTCTCCGTTTAGCTTCCACTATAAAAGTCATTCGATGGCTATTTATTCAACTAATTTCTGGGATTCAAACTCGAGTTTTTATATGCAAACCATTTAGATAAAAAAATAAGTTTCTATTTAAAAAATAAATAAATTCCATAAGAATAATTGAGGTGATTTGACGTTATCTGTGTAGGTAGAATGGCTATGGTATTAAGAATGGGTAAAGGCCTATATATATATATGTTTGGAAATAGCGTCCTGGTCTGTCAACGTTCTCCAACCCCGCCGCCAAGCAACCCACTGTCCGCTCCCCGCGGCCATATATTTGACCGCGTCCTTCTGCCTGGATCCCACTGCACCCAGTGATGAAAGCACAGCCTCTGTGGCTGTTGTCGCCGTCGCCCACAGCTCCTCCTCCGCATCAATTGCGGGCGAGGTAGGATGGGGTGGAGGGGGTGAGAGAGAGAGAGAGAGAGAGATGAATATAATTTCGTCCTCTGATGAACGGCGACGACCGTGCAGCTTGATCTCCTCCCTCTATAAGAAGCCATGCACTCCTTTCATTTCATCCAACCAAGTCGGTGAGGAAGAATCCCAGCTAATCCTTTAGCTTTCACTACCTCTTCATCCACCTTCCATGACGACTCCACTGCTCCCCCGTCTTCCCCTCCTCCTCCTCCTCCTCCTCCTCATTGCCTTCTTCCTGCTCCCCCTCGCCGTCGTATCCCAGGAGGCGTTCTGGGACCAGAAAGTGGATACCTACAGCACGGGCCGTAACTCTAGCATCGGCTTGTACTCCTACATCATGCTCGCCTGCCTCATCACCATCGACAACGGTCAGCGCCCAGCCTTGTTCTAAAAGCTCTGTTGCTATCTTGATAATAGAGGAGGGAGAGAGAGATGAAGGAAGTAATGGTACTGACTGAGTTTTGGTGGGAGGAAGATGGAGGAGACCTCCCCAACATAATTATATTTTCTTTTTATATATATTTCTTCATGATCTCTCACTCGTCGGAGGATAATTCCAAGACAAATACATTTCAGCGACATGCATGATTACGTGAGGTTGTGTATCTACTCATGTATTGTATTTAGTTGCACCCCAATTATCTAAATGACCTCACGATTTACTATAGATTTCACGGAACTTTATTTTCGAACGTCCTCCAACGATTGTATCGGCTGCTATCTTCCTCTTCTCTAACGATGGAGAACTTTGGTAAGATTAATTCAAATAATTAGGATTTAAATAAATAAAAAAATTTAAAATTAATAGATTAGGGTGAAAATATTTATTGGGATAGGATAGATTTATTTTATTATTTTAAAAAATATACTATATCATTTGGCTAATATAAGTAGGTATTTTTGGATAATCTAAAATACTATAGATCAGAAGTATTTCTAATTCTTTCTAATATCTTTCTTCCTTTCTCTTTAAAGTTCTATAGAAAAGCCAACAAAATTAGTAGAACAATAAATAAAAAGAGAAAATTATTTTTGGTGTATATTGGAGAAAATAACGATGCTCCATGGTAAAAACTTCAAAATGAGACACTCAATCATAAAAAGGCCAAAAAATAATGTTTTTCATCGTAAATAATCAATATTTTCTTAAGAATCAAGATACATTTTTATAAAAAATGTTAATATTTAGCTGAAAAATAGGAAGGAAGATAACATTCTTCTTGTCATATGGACCATTGGATTGTACTGCGGATAGAACGACCAATAGGATTCTGTCTTTGGATTCGCACCTTATCCGCTTCGCGGCCGCCGCCCACTCATGGCTAAAGCTTTTAATTCCTTAGAACGCCTTCGTTGTGTTCGACCCACACATTTCTCCTCGCGCATCAGCAAGACAGAGCGAGGAGAAATGGCGTCTGCTGCTCTGAGAAGCTGCGCCGTTCTCTTCCCGAGCCTCCTCTCCTCCTCCAAGTCGCAGTTCAACGGCTCCTTCTCCCTCCCCTGCGCCAATGGCGCGTCCCGCTTCTCCATGTCCGCCGAGTGGATGCCCGGCCAGCCTCGCCCCCCTTACCTCGACGGCTCCGCCCCTGGGTAAACCACTGCGACGATCTTTACCCTGAGATCTCTCTCTCACAACACTCACATGTGTGTTCTCCACCTGCCTGTTCAGCGACTTCGGCTTCGACCCGCTTCGCCTCGGGGAAGTCCCGGAGAACCTGGAGAGGTACAAGGAGTCGGAGCTCATCCACTGCCGTTGGGCAATGCTTGCTGTGGTAAGCTCTCTTCTCCCCTCACTCGATCCCTCTTCCGCACATTCGATGAAGGATCTGATTGCACTGTGACTCTGCAGCCGGGGATCTTGGTGCCGGAAGCCCTGGGCCTGGGCAACTGGGTGAAGGCGCAGGAGTGGGCAGCGGTGCCCGGCGGGCAGGCCACCTACCTCGGCAACCCGGTCCCGTGGGGTACGCTCCCGACCATCCTTGTCATCGAGTTCATCGCCATCGCCTTCGTCGAGCACCAACGCAGCATGGAGAAGGACCCCGAGAAGAAGAAGTACCCCGGTGGAGCCTTCGACCCCCTGGGCTTCTCCAAGGACCCCGCCAAGTTCCAGGAGTACAAGATCAAGGAGATAAAAAATGGTTTCACCTCTGCGACTCTCTTCCCTTCCCATCTGCCTGCTTGCGCCATATCTAACAGTGTCGGCTCGATCATCTCCTTGCTTTGTTCTCAGGTCGTCTTGCTTTGTTGGCCTTCGTCGGGTTCTGCGTGCAGCAGTCGGCGTACCCGGGAACGGGACCCTTGGAGAACTTGGCCACTCACCTGGCGGATCCATGGCACAACAACATCGGCGACATCGTCATCCCCAGATCGGTGTTGCCATGATCATGGTGGGCTTCGTTCATCTTCCCACTCTGTATAATTCCATGTACTGAATGCATGCTTGTGCTCCCTTCCATCCGTGTAATCGCTGATACATTTCCATTACACATGCAATATCTTGTACTCCAAAGGGAAGTTCATGGTTGCCTGTTTGTTGCAAATGAAGGTTATAGTTATGAATCCTTCCTTGATCATCCATCTGGCTTGCATTTGGGATACTCCTGCAGTAGACCTCACCTGCTTGGCTCTATCTAGAGAGAGACCTTGTCCGCATACAGAAAGAAGGAAATGTATTCTCCATTGAAATGTGGGGATGGAGTGACCACGTCAACTTCAGACCATGTGGACTTGGTCTGAATACTTTCAATCCGTGCCTTCTGCTTTTTCCTAAAGAAAGGGAGGAAAAGATGGGAGTCTTCGAAAGGGTCAACCACCTCATTGCATTTTGTGCACTTCAAACGTTCGACGAAATGGCAAACTAGCAATGCTCCCACGTTTATTTTGTTTCCTCGCGTCCCTTCGTGATTTCTCCGTCGGGGCGTACATTAAGTCCCGCTCGTGGGGTCCGACTGGGACTCGTCAGGACACCAATCGCAAGGGAGGGTCAGTGTTGGGGTAAGTCGTTTGCGGGTTGGGAAAACAAAGCATGCGCGCTCCACTGGGACCACCAAAAGCTCCGGTGTCTCCAAATGGACCGCGGGTACGGTAAGGACACGCGGGACCCACGGGAAGACCGACGCGCACAACCGACACTCGCGGAGTTCCTGTCTCGCTGGGAACATCGAAGGCAAGATGACAGTGCCACACTGAACGGTGGGCCCGCTATGAAACGTGGCGACTCATAACTCGTGTGAACCATGCGGCGCACCGAATCCCGTGGCGATCGCGTTTCGCGGTCTCATTACCGCCCTACCCGTGATAGCCGGTCAGCCCTGCTCCCTCCTCCCTCCTCCCGACACTTTCGCCGCCGCCGCTCGATCCCTTCCTCCTCTCCTCCCGCTGACTTCTCACCCGGCTTATTCTGATCCTGTCGTCTTCTTCCCCGCTATAACACTGAACGCAACTCAACTCAACCAAGGAGCAGCCACCCTCTCTCTCTCTCTCTGTTCCGTATCCACTCCACCAGAGGAGGCAAGGAAACTCGATGGGGAACCTCACCCCCGCCCGCCGCAAGGAGCCGCGCTACCCGTCGCCGGATGGCCCTTCCCCTCCCCGGTTCAGCCCTCGCCCCAATCTTCCAGCCCCCGCGGCAGCCGGCTCCGTCCCACGCCCGGTCCTCTCCAACGTCGGCCGCGTCCTCGGCCGGCCCATGGAGAACGTCCGCGCCACCTACAGCTTCGGCCGCGAGCTCGGCCGCGGCCAGTTCGGGATCACCTACCTCGTGACCCACCGCGAGACCAGGGAGCAGTTCGCCTGCAAGTCCATCGCCACCCGGAAGCTCGTCCACGAGGAAGACCTTGAGGACGTCCGCCGCGAGATCCAGATCATGCACCACCTCACCGGGCACCGCAACATCGTGGAGCTCAAGGGAGCGTACGAGGACCGCCACTCGGTCAACCTCGTAATGGAGCTCTGCGAGGGAGGGGAGCTCTTCGACAGGATCATCACCAAGGGCCACTACTCCGAGCGGGCGGCGGCGGCTCTCTGCCGGGAGATCGTCAACGTCGTCCACGTCTGCCACTCCATGGGCGTGATGCACCGGGATCTGAAGCCCGAGAACTTCTTGTTCTTGAACAAGAAGGAGGATTCGCCGCTCAAGGCCACGGATTTCGGGCTCTCCGTCTTCTTCAAGCCCGGTAACACATACCCTTTCTCCTTTCCTTTGACTCGTTGGCTAACTGGCAGAAAGAACCCGGTCTTGTCTTACCTTAGTCGCAACAATTAGTCAAATTACCAACAAAATGAGTTATCCATCAACCAAAAGCAAAACTTATTGTGAATCAACTGGAAATGCTGCATCAACAGCTAGTCCTCTCAACATTGTTGATTGCTTAATCTTGTTGTGTGTTGACTGATCAATACATAGACTTGTTCTACGATTGGGCATGAGGAGGCAAGGTTTAATGCGGTGGTAATGCAGTGCTCTGATACTAAGTTGCAGAATGATAGACTTTGGGACAAGCTATCTTCTTTGAAATATCTATATTGCGGCAAAGCTATTTTGTGTGCACTTCCTTGTGCTGGGGCATGGAATTGGCAACTGCAGTTCTTTGCACTCGGTCGCTGCTTTCCAACCACATTTGGACTCCAAATGATTGGAGAGCACAGCAGAATGTGTCTCTTAAATGAAAAGGAAAAAAGATTTTCTGCGTAGCCTTGGCCTCTGTATAGTTTGATTTCTAGGTTTTGTGGTACCTTAAGTTTAAAGGACATTGCCAAGGATCAAACCAGATTCAATTGGATGGCCCTTTGTAAATTTCCATTCTGTAAGTTAAATTAGGCCCAAGAAATGTTTGTTCATCCTTGTGAGGAAAATACTTAAGAGGGTTTATGATTCAGAGTGATGAAAATGTGATTGAATATCTTAAAATTAGAGAAGTGTGAGTGGTTTTTAACGGAAGTTGGTTGGGTAATATCTATTCTGTTCCATGTATGCTTAAGTTCACAAACTATTAATAAAGGAAATTCTGTCATATGAAAATCCCATCTCTTAGGACTTAGAAAATAACCGTCCACTTTTAAATGTGTAATTTGGTATACCCAGTGTATGTTTACAATTCTAGGCAGTAAATCATCTTGTTGTCTGAAGAATGTATAGTCTTTTTCAATATGTATTCTTCAATTCCTTAATCTTAAGATTATACATTTTTAGGGAATTTTAGGAAATACAATCTAATGGATCAAAAAGTTTTCAAGAAGACATGCAACCGCGCAACTAAATTAGTTGTCATCTAGGTAGTCAGCTTGTCTTAGTTGATGGGTTAGAATTCTCTATCTGTTTGGCAATACTAGCCATAATTTAGAGAAGTACTCTAGTAGAAGAATTTATTGTTGAATATCCAATACAAGGTTCGCAATATCGTACCATACCGGTATTTCGACCTGGGCTTGGTACCGGTACGGTACGGTATACCGAGCGGTACACTCAGGTGTGCCAAGTACTGTAGCACTGCTACAGTGCTATAGTGCACTCGGACCGGAACAGGCGGTCCGCGTATCGACAACCTGTCGGACCGGTACTTACCGCCCATATCGGGCGGTACAGTTCGGTACGGCAGACCCTGATCCAATGTTGTTGTGTTGGTGTTCGGTAAGTTTTCAAATAAAAGTTCATGGGGAAACAAAAAGAATTGTTATGTGAATAGGAAATTTCTTTGGATGCTTTTTTTGTTCTTAAATGTTCTTGTGTAATTGTTTTTGCCTTCTAATTAAAAAGATTATATTAGCATTAAAAATTATAACTGGGTTGTGCAGGAGAAATATTCAAAGATCTTGTCGGAAGTGCATTTTATATTGCCCCTGAAGTATTGAGACAACATTATGGAGCAGAGGCTGATATCTGCAGCGCTGGAGTGATGCTGTACATCCTTCTTTGTGGTGTCCCTCCTTTTTTTGCAGGTTCTTGTTTATTAGGATAAATGAGCTCGATAATTTACAATGATACTTTAGTACAATAACTTGAATATACATTTTCACATATGCAGAGACCGAGGAGGGTATATTTGATGCTATATTGCATGGCCATATTGATTTCACATCTGATCCCTGGCCTTCTATATCTAGCAGCGCTAAAGAACTTGTCAAATTGATGCTAAGACCAGATCCAAAGGAGCGGCTTACTGCAGCTGAAATTCTCAGTAAGATTTAACTTTCATCCTGTTAACAAGTTTAATTTTAAAGCTAAAATCTCTTAGCTCATAGTATGTAGTCCATACATATGTACCAAATTTGTGCATTAAGATAAAAATCGCATATGAGTAGTGCCCAGGTATAAAGGTTGTGACTGTTAAGGTTGATACATGAATAAGGCCAAGGTTGTGTTCTATGAAAATTTGATGTTTTTTCTTGTATAAATTTCATCTGAGTTTGTTTTAAGAGCATTTCCTTGTTAAAAGAATTGTCATGAAAATTCCTTTATTAGCTCCAAATAGGTAAGGTTGGACATGGATACGGTATGTCTTATTGACTACAAATACCTTCTTTCACTATATGCCAAGTTCTATATGATTTGTGCTCCAGCATCACTGATCTCCATTCTCCAATCAATCTGATAACTTGATGATAACCTATTTGATTAGAAGTGTCCCTGAATGATACTTCACATAATAGCTGAAACATTTCTTAGTATATTCTAAACAAATTAATTGATAAGTATCTGCTTCATAATCCGCTTATGAGCATATTAGCTCACTCATTAACCACTTTACCAAGTTTTAACAGTTGAAAGTGTATGCAGATCATCCATGGATGAGAGAAGATGGTGCCTCTGATAAGCCACTTGACCTTACTGTTATGAATAGAATGAAGCAGTTCATGGCCATGAACAAGCTTAAGAAAGTTGCGTTGAAGGTGCGATTCTTTTCATTTTCTTATCAGTTTATATGGCTAATTATCTTTCATGGTAATAACAATACATTTTAACTCAGGTTGTAGCTGAAAGCTTGTCAGAGGAAGAAATAATGGGTTTAAAAGAGATGTTCAAATCGATGGACACTGACAATAACGGGACAATAACTTTTGAAGAATTAAAAGCAGGCCTTCCCAAGTTGGGTAATTTGGGAATCAAGATCTCTGAATCTGAAATTAGGCAGCTGATGGAGGCGGTATGTTTCTTTGTCCTTCCCCAGTAAATTTATTTCACATTTCTTTTGATTCTGTGGATTTTTCTTGTCCAGTTATCATATTGGAGTGTCTGGTCTACCTGGTTGTGACATTGGAATGTGTGCAAGCCAAGCATTATTTAATGACACCATGTTGCTTGCTTTGCATATATGGCCACGTAGATGCTTCTTAGAACTATATAATCCACACATTGAGAAAAATAATCAAGCAACTAAGTGACCTGATTGCATTTATGACTGATGCCTGATGTAACCTGGCAAACAAATTGCACAGGTGTAGGTGCAAATCTTGATCCATGGTGCACAACCTGATAGGGATATCATAATGTTGGGCAACATGGATTTCAAATTCTCTTTCTTTTGTTAAGGTTATCCTTTTTTGTTGCAACATTATTCACGGTCCGGTAATTCTTGTTTATCAGTAGTGTTTCAGTTCCAAAAAGAACAAGAACCGAGAAATTCTTTTGAGATGTCTGTCAAGTTTTCAATTTGCTAATGATCATTTGATCTTTACCAGGCTTTATCAGCAATAATTTCCTCTGTTTGTCAGGATCATCATGTCCTTTTGACTGCTTTTATCGGAGGCATATCCTATATCAACCATGCTACATGGCATATCTGAAAATCTCCATGTACACCTGTGAGAAATATGAGCTAAGACTCATGTCAGTTAGATACATGTGTGTGCATGTGAGCGCACATTTTTTTATCAACTATCAACACATTTTCTGAAAACCTGCTACTGCTTCATGATTATCTGCACTGTTTTTTAGCATGGATTTTGGTGGTGCCTAAGTTAACCTAATTTCCATGACAGGCTGATGTTGATGGAAATGGGAGCATTGATTATATTGAATTCATAACAGCTACAATGCACATGAATAGAATGGAAAGGGAAGATCATCTGTACAAAGCGTTTGAGTGTTTTGATAAAGACAAAAGCGGGTAATGCCATCCTTAAGCAATTTGGAACTTGTAACATATTGAATGCAAATGAGTAAATATTCTATTACACCGTCCCTTTGAATAGGTACATCACAGTCGAGGAATTGGAGCAAGCTCTCAAGAAGTATAACATGGGTGATGAGAAAACAATAAAAGAGATACTCGCAGAAGTTGACATTGACAAGGTAAGTATTCGAGACATGCTAGTTTCTTTCACACGTTAGTTAAGAAAAAATGAAAAAATTAAAAGCTCAGTGTGTGTGTGTGTATATATATATATATATATATATATATATATATATATATATATATATATATATATATTGATCCAGTTTATGTGAAGGGTTTGGTAACTTTCAAATAGGGCAGTTTGTGATGCTTATATACTATCAGTAAGCACTTAAACTGAATTAGCAAAATTCAGGATGTTTTGGAATAGCTCACAGATAGGAGGTGCAAAAGGAGGTAGTTTTTAGAATTCTGTCAGCTTAGCCATTATTCTTACTTCATAGCATGTATATGATCTGCAACTCCAAAATCAATTTACTGGGATCTTCCTTGAACACTAGGTTGCCTGTAGAAGTAGATACCTCATACCAGAGACAAGGAAAAAGAAAACCTGTTAAGACTCACTCTAGTGTTACTATATGGATTAGCAGATATAAGATGTATCAGTTGCCTTTTGTTCCAGTAATAATTGTGTTACTCATCATGTATGCCACAGGATGGAAGAATTAATTATGATGAGTTTGTAACTATGATGAAAAAAGACACTTCAGAGGCTATCGAAACCAGGTGTCGTAAGATGTGATTTTATCGTGATATTGGAAGAAAGAGCACCTGGAGTTGCATTCTAAAGCAGAAGCAATCTGGAATTTGGTTACGATTGCCGATTTTTGAGATTTTAGCAATCTGTAAACCCAACACCACGTATTCTTGCTGATTTCGCGCATTTTGTATAACTATTCGTGATGTCTTGTTGAATTCGTCTGAAACAGCAGCTGAATCTGTTCATCACTGTGCTGTTGGTCTTCATCAGAGTTGTTTGAATTAGGTAATTATTTTTGAACTTTTCTCTTTATGTTAGGAAAAAGACTAGCTGCCAACTTCCAACAATGATCTGCTTTCATCATGTTTCTTTGCATGAGATTCCCAAAATTCAACTGCTCACTGGAATAAAATGCCATGAATTAGAGTATGAATACTGAAAGACAGATGGAAATATATGGTTATTGCTAATCGAAAAGAGCAGCAAAATGTGTGATTTGAAAGTTTGGAAGTAGAATCAGTAGTAGAAGGCTCATTGGATGTAAGAGGATGATATCTTTTTGTTTATACTCTTGCACATCATGAACACTAAATTATAATGAAGCTTTTATTTACCTGACCTTCACCTGGTTTCATAAAACTCACAATTTGGCTGCTGTGATTGCATCGATTGTTGGAAGATGAAGCATTTTGCCATGTAGGTACAAGGATCTTAAAGCTGAACCCACCTGCTGCTTCACGTCTGACTTGATCTCAGAGTTGCCATGAACTTGCTCAATCTTGGTCTTTTCTGTGTGATGGCAATGGAGACATCAATGGGGAAGAGGTCATGGAGGACAAAGGCAATGATGGTGGCAATGAGCAGAGCTGTCACAGTGAAGGGGGAGATGGCAGAGAACCCTCCTGAGAGATGGGAAAACGAAGCAGGAAAGGCCATGTCTCGTCCTCTGGAAGAACCGACGCCTCCGAGGCTTGCAGAGTGATCAGCACGCTGTCATAGAGCCCAAGAATTCTACCGGTAGAAGACGAATCCTAAAGATCATATTACCCGTAGAGTGTCCAGTTCAGGTCCTTGTAAGGCGTCGAAGTAGCGATCGGCCGCAGGCACAGGCTCGTCCTTAACGATGTCGGAATCAGAAGCCTCCACCTCTGGTTCTTGCGGCCTTCCACGTAGATACGACGACCGCCTCTCCAGTCTTCCCGACCATGCCTTGAAGGAATCGAAGCGTCCGTCCCTCTGGTTGTCACCGCTCGACATGCTTCGACTCTTCTTGAGTGGATCGAGTGAATCACTGTTGATCGAGATGGTAGGCAGGTGACCGAGAGGAACTCCAGTTTCCTGACATGAAACCAAAACAAGTTTCAGGGGAACTCTCGAGAACCTTCATCTCTACGTCAGCTGACGACCTACTTTGCGAGCTGTTGTTTCTCCTGGCGGAGTGGGATTGAGAGACGACGCCATTGTGGCCATTAACCCCTTTGTATGAAGCACGCATCGGAAGAGACGACGGAGGGCATTCGACGAGAACTAGCTTCCGCGTGTTTTCTGTACCTACATCGTTCAGAGAGTTCATGTCATGGCCTGGAACTCGCAGGGGCAACGAAGACCAGGAGATGGGGCTTCTTGCCTGAAGTCAACGACGACTCCACCGATTGCTACGACCCTGCGCAAGCCGCAGGCCGACGGGATCTCAAGTCAACGAAGACGATGGTTTCACATGCCACGGTGTTTTACGTGGGACCCACCTTTGGGGTCAACGTGACCTCCAACCACTTGGCAGGTAGCACGAATGCACATATTTTCGGTTCTTTCAAAGCAGCTGTACTCTCATCCAGGAAACCAAAGCGAGATGGGGATCCTTTCACTGCTCCCGGGAACGAGGAGAACAAAGACGACGACCGGAGGAGGGGGAACGCGTTCTGAAGTCAAGCTGCTCTAACGTCAAAGGGAAAGCAGCAGCGACGCCGATAGGTGCAAAACCTTCATAGGACTGCAGCTTAAAGCCGACAGATGTGGACGAGGAGGAGAAGGCTATCCAGAGGATGGAAAGATGTCTCGAGCAAATCGATCTCGTCAATGGCGTTCACAGGGAGAAGAGCTCGACTCGTTAACAGGAGGCATTCACCGTGGAAGTGGAAGAGACTAGTCTCTTGATCATGTTGAGGTGTGGCGAGCCCAAACCTGATCTGATGTCATAATACACGTCTTTTATCTTCCTCTAATATTAACTTATTATTATTATTACTATTATTTTGTTTTTCTGATTATTGTGATAAATGAATGCATTAAAAAGGAAAAAAATTGCACCATATAATAATCGAATCACGGGAAAGCTTTATTTACTAATATGTTTGTGATTTTATTAACTTCATTAAAACTATGGAAAATAGAAAATTAAAGGATGGTTGGATAGATTATGCAGACGAATTGCTCAATATATATTTAAAAAAATAAAAAATGAGTAAAAGCATGTAAGATTTGAATTCATTTTGTTCTGTGATAAGGATTTACATCGATCGATACTTTTAAATACTTTGATTATCAAGAAAGAACTCAATTGAGACAGTACAAATTTATATTCTTCTTTTTATTTATTTATCTATATGAGGAGTCTACTCCCTGATGAGTGCTTGGACAAGTATCCAATCGTAGGGGTCAGATCATGATCCGAATCTAATCCGGATTTGCATCTCAAAAGTCGTGGACCCGTTCTATTGAACTACCACGCTCTTTCCAACTGCAAGTCCTCCCTGCGCTCCGTGAATGGAGGAACTAATTGGGCCCATAGTGGGACCCACTTGAAAGCCGAGCTAAGCGGAACGGGTAGGCACGAAAGGTGTAAGACAAGTATTTATCTCGGCCGAGTACATCGGCCTGGCCCGGACCTTAAAACTTGCTACACCCGCCCGCCGCCGAAACTTGTTTCGGTACCCGACAGCTCCCCGTCTCCTCTTATAACCCACGGGCCGGATCTAGCCTAGGGCTTCCATTCGTCCGCCGGATCCAAAGCCCCCCCTCGCCACCGCCTTCGCCGCCGCCGGGAGGTCGGATGGAGGGCCACAGATTTTGGCAGTACATGGCGGCGGGTTCGGTGGCCGGCATGGCGGAACACATGGCGATGTTTCCGGTGGACACCCTCAAGACCCGGATGCAGACGGTCGCCGCCTCTGCCTCATCCTCGTCCCAACACCATCACCCCACCGTCGGCCGCTTGCTCGCATCCATCGTCCGCTCTGAGGGCCCCTCCGGCCTCTACCGCGGTATTGCCGCCATAGGCCTTGGCGCCGGTCCTGCCCACGCCGCCTACTTCGCAGTCTACGAGCTCTGCAAGGACCGTCTCGGCGGCAACCGCCAGGACGGCCGCCACCACCCCCTCATCCACGCTGCCTCCGGCGTGGCCGCCACCATCGCCAGCGACGCCTTGCTGACTCCCATGGACGTCGTCAAGCAGCGGCTCCAGCTCCGCTGGAGCCCGTACAGCGGGGTGAGGGACTGCGTCGTGCGGATGCTGCGGGACGAAGGGATCAGGGCGTTTTACGCCTCGTATCGGACGACCGTCCTCATGAATGCGCCGTTCACGGCCGTGCACTTCGCGACGTATGAGGCCGTCAAGAAGATTCTCACTGAGATCGCACCAGAGAACGCGAGCGAGGAGAGGCTCTTGGTTCACTTGACGGCGGGTGGGGCGGCCGGAGCACTGGCAAGCGCTGTGACCACTCCATTAGACGTCGTGAAGACAAGGCTGCAATGCCAGGTATGGTGCCTAGCTTCGTCTCTCTTTATGTCAAACACGATTCCTATTGCCTGCAAACAAATTCCTTTGATATGGTCTTCATCCTTCTTTGAATGAAAAGTACAGGACAGCAAAATTAGAGCACAACCCAGACCTTAGTGTCAGAGATCAAGCCTAGACACTGAGCACAAAAATTGTTTTGTAGTTTATCAAGATCATAATGGCATTTACTGGATATATTAGTTCGATGCTGTTCACCCTTTTATTTGAGTCAAGGAAGAATAAACTCTTTGCATGTATTGGTCAACCAATCATATCATCATCTAAATGGTTCAAAATATACTACTCCTGATTGGGAATCCAACTACTAGGGTTGGACCCATGACATGCTACCTTTGATCAGGATCAATATCACAATTTTCGTAGGTATCCAAATAAATATGATAACAAAACAATTGCAGCAATAAGTGTGTTTCTTCATTGAAATTGAAATATGAGAAGCTGTTGCATGTTATCTGTTGTCAGTATGTTCTTTTGCTTCATCAGCATTACTGGTCTAAATTGCATAGGTTGCTTGATCTAGATACTAGATCCATCTATCACCTTTACAATCATGAACATCTCTTTTGCTTGCATACAGATTATCAGCTAAGATCCTAGTTCATGTTAGTGATCATTTTCATGTTTGCATATTATATTGTTTTTGTTTGTATTTCCATTGCGGTGACACTTAACCCCTTGCTGTCGGTAGAAGCTTGGATTTCCTTGTATCTCTAGGTTCTTTTACGTAGTTATTGTTTCTCGGACTATTGATCTGTCATGATAACTATGAGAAAGTGTAATGAGTAACATAATAACAGCAGCAAAATTGAGAAAAAAAAAGAGGAACCTCTATTTCCAATATTAAAGACCCTAGCTTTGTTATTTCAATGTTTGCATGCTGTTCTGTGATGTTTGTTGGACAAGCTATTTGGATGGACTGAAGCTGCCCTGAAAATTTCAGGGGAGGTAATGCATGGGACCCACACAGATGGGCCTACCTGTCAGGACTGCAGTAGGTGTCATCACCTATGAAATTTTTAGGGGTGAGTCAATCCACCTAAACAGGAGTTCTTTCAATGCATAGGCTCCGCAAAATTAATTGGTCTTCAAATAATACATCGGGGACAATATTCTGTCTAGGTTCTTCAAAACTCATTTCATAAACTTGTTATGTTAAAATCAAGTAGCTTGCATCTATGTGTCAGCTTTTGTTTTGCAAGATGTCTTCCACACCTTCTACATGTAGTGAGATGTCTTCAGTATCTAGTAAGCCACTTCTGCAACTTACTGAGTTAAAACATTACAAGCTTCTTACTTCAAGAATGTTTGATCCGCTTTAGTTTAAACAAAATAAAAGACTATATGGATACCTTATGTTTGTCAAGATGCCCTGTCAGTAAGTCAATCCCACTTCCATAATAGCTAAAGCCAAGCAAAGTTAGCAGCTAAAATTCAAAATCACCCATGTCAACTGATGCATCACATCATGTTGTGACCTGACTTTCTTGGATATGCTCTTTCATTGTTATTATTAGGGATGACAGCAATTGTTGACAATGGCCTTTTGATTGGAGAACTATTTTCACTTTCTTATATTTGTATCCTTGTGGTTTAGCAGCATCTGATGGCCAAACACAAAAAATGCAAACAATATTTATAAATGTTTTCAATTTTTAAGCAGTCACAAAACACTGAAACAGTTATTGTTCGTGTAATGAACAACATATATATATATATATATATATATATATATATATATATATATATATATATATATATATATATATATATATATATATATATTAGACACACACGCGTGCTTGCACACACATGGAGGGGCTCGAAGTTGTAGTTACAAAACTTGAACTAGTAACTGGTGACTTAGAGTTCAAAGACTAAGGAAGGTGTGACTGTAGAAAATGAGGCAGCAAAGAAAGGATGTGGAGCTGCCCAAGTGTATAATGGGCCTGTTAGAGATGCAAAATTTATTAATCTTGAAACATCAAAAGGAGCATACTCATGGAAACTTTGATTTACAGGAAATTGATATTGAAGGAGTTTGTTTTTAATAGGATCCAGTGGCAGAGGTGCGATCTGCTAAATCCAATCTGTAGATCCTGTAAAGATATATGAGTTTCATTGATTATTGGCTTTTTTTCCTTTAAGTATTACTGAAGGAAGAGGAACTGTACCACATGCATAATCCAAAGAGGTAGTATACATATGGGGTCTGCAAATAAAATTTTAATAATTGTATGAACCATTTTTTCAGCAATTATTGCTCCGGTACCTATAAGATTTGGAGACCTCATTCTAGTGGCTTTGATATTCTATCTGATGTCATTTAGTTAATGACAAAGATTGGAGTTAAAGAATTTCAAAAGAGGAGGTCCGCAATGCTGTCTGCATTTCATATGAAGCTGGGCCTTGGCTTTTAGGAGCTTTCGCTCATTAGGTGGTTAGTAGTGGAGGACCGAGACTGTTAGGCTGAGGCTTGGTGCCCACTAATTGGGCCGACGGTGTGGGGACAGAGACCTGACCTATCTTATATGTTCTATTTTGATCTGTTTGCTCTGTATAAAGACATAACTGATTGTTTTCAAGGGGATCAGCTTGTTTTGGTAGAAAAACATGTAGCTTGTTAACTTCATCCTGTTACATCATATATGCTTCATGAGATTGTATCTGATTGATGTGTGCACATTTCAGTTTTGCGATGAGCTAATGCTCATATTATGATAGCAAAGTGACAAATAACTCAAAGCTGATCTTTTTAGATTTTTGCTCATCTTCTTAGGACATACCATCATCATATATTAGCATTGTTCTGCAGTCTTCTGTTCTTGTTTGGTCATAACTTTTTATCTCTGCTATGTTACACTTTCCTTTTATTTTCTTTTGTTATTCACTTCGTTCTAATCGATACAAAATGGTCATTAAATAGAGAGTAAATTTTATAGCTCTTGCATATCTCTTGTATGGTTCATTTGGTTGAACCTATTTAAGTATCCTTTAAATGGAAAAACATTTATCATTTTATAGTTCCTTTATGCTGCCAAAGTTACTGTATTTCATACTCCCTCGAAAGTTCTACAGAGTGACCAAATGATGCAGTGCAATGGTAGGCAGAATCCGAAACCATTTCTATTTTGTGTGTTGTTGGGTGGGTGGCTGTTGTTTGCTTGATCACCATGTCTACTAGTACTCGAGTACTCAAACATAGATTTGCAAGATGAAAAGCCTATTAGCGAACTACATGTAACATAAATTAGAATTATTACATAGGTCCTCATGTAATTTTTGTTGAGATTCTGCATGTAATAAAGATGGAAAGTTTTATCGATCTCTGGTACGTCCATGCAGGGGGTGTGCGGGGCAGATACGTTCAACGGTAGTTCGATAAGAATGGTCATGGAGAAAATAGTCGCTAAAGAAGGACCTCGAGCTCTGCTACAAGGGCTGAAGCCTAGAGTGCTGTTTCACGCCCCAGCTGCCGCGATTTGTTGGTCGACATATGAAGCCATGAAAAGCTTCCTCCAGAGGAATACTCATCAAATTTCTTCTTCACCATGATTTTCTAAAGAGTCGAGCTCTTTAGTTTTCTCCTCATCTGAACAGATGTAGGAGTAGCTAATTTAGGTGGCAGATCAAACACTTGTTTTGTTTTTTCACAAAGGTGAATCTACCAAATTTTATCCTTTTTATTCTTCACCGAAAACAGTGAGAAATATAGTTGGATGTATTTGTCCAGATAATTAGATGATAGTGGTTTCAGAATTGTATGGATTCCATCTCTGTAAACTGGATGGGTTGCTTAGCAGGTAATAAATATTCATTCTCTCTCT